GCATCCCCCTGCCACCGACATCGCCTTTCTCAGGCTGCCCCTTGTCGCCCTGCTGCCCGGCGGTGGGGCAGCGCGCACCTGTGGGCTGCTCCGGGGGATCCCGCCCCGGGGGATCCCGCTCCGGGGCTGGGGCTGCTCCGCGGGGCCCCGGCCCTCCCTTGCTTGCCAGACCGCCGAGGAATCTCCTGAGGTCTGGCACTTGCACGGCAGCGGCTGTCTCCCTCCGGGTCCCCCTCTCTGCTTCGCGCCATGGTGTCGCAGTTTCTTGTGCTCAGACACGGAGCTGGTAATCTGGGGGGTTGCTGGCGGCTGGGGGGGGTACGGGGTGCGCCCCTGCTTCTGAGCACGGTGTGGTTGCACAGCTACGGCTGGGCAGTGTTGCCCCAGCAAGTATGAAAGGGGTCAGTTGGTGGGGGACTTCTTAGGCTGTTAGACCCTCTTTCCTGCCTGGCCTCCCTCAAAAACAGGATTTGCAGACGCACACCAGGTGTGACTGTGGGTGCTGGTCTCATACCGAGATTCTGTTTGTGAATGGTGGTTCCTGCCTTGCACTGGAAATCAGTCTGTCTGGGGCAGGGAGAAGTCTCTCGGGCAGACACAAGCGCCTGAGGGTGCGTACGCATCCCTGTGAACACACTGCATAGGTCTGCAGGGGTTCGCTGGCTCCTGAAATGGCTCTGTGCTAGCGCGAGGAGCTGCACAGTGTTGACAAAGCTTGAAAGAGACACGTCTCAGCTGCCGCAGGTTGATGGGATGCACTTGTGGCAAACCCGTTTTTCATAGGGTCTGTTCCCATCATCTGTTGACGTGGCCCATTTTGCAATCAGGTGGCAGGTTGCTACACAGTATGAGGTTATGTTTCGCATCTCCTTTCTCCTTGTGGCGAGGACAGTTTTTCCTGTTGCTCTCTGGATACCTTTTATGAATCCTAATTCCCACTACTTGCTGCTCTTGCAGTTTCTGACACTGGGAGTAGAAGGTGGTCCCGTCTTTTTCACTGACAGGCTGCCCAGTTCCTTTCCTTAGACAATTCAGTGTAAATCTGGTTTCCATCTGTAGTTCACGATCACCGATAGCGTGGAAGACTTACTCCTCGGTGTTTCACACCAGTGCAGTAGTCTGCCGTCAGCAGCAGTCTCGCTCTTGCTCATACCTTGCTAGCCTACGCGCTGGTCTTGCGTTCTCAATGTGTGTTGTCTCCGGTTGTGCGACGGCTGCTGCACAGAGTCAGAGAAGTGAGCTTTCAGAAGGTGCAATGTATAGGATTGCCTTGTGCTGTCTGGCTTTACATTTTGTTCCTCCAGGGCTGTGCCCAGACAAAAAGGCCGTTGCTGTGGTTGAGAGGACCAAAGAAGATGGTATTTCTTGTGCGCTGATGAGGGGAGAATTGTCCTCGATTCCCTCTGCAGCCCTGACAGGCAGAGCCCTGCCGTGATGCAGTACCTGTCAGCAGAGCTGCAGGTCCCCGGCAGTGCTCTTGCTCGTTAAGTTTGTGGCCTGGTTCCCACCTTCATTTACTACAGCTAGTTCAGCAGCCGTTGTGTTTGCTTCACGTCTGGAAGGGAGACTTCTACACTCCATGTAATATTTATTGTGGTGTGTCCTCTTCCTTGGTCCTCTCCTACTCCTGCTGTTTCTGAGAGGGCTTCTGCAGGTCAACAAGGCAACATTGCTTTCCTGCCACAACAGCGGTAAAGGCACAGCTCCTTCAGTCTTTGAGATTTCTCCGTCCTGGTGGCATTTTCTCTGTGCGTCAAGCAATAAGGTGTGTAAGTGTGCTTTGGCAGCCTCAGCCTGGCTGGTGTGGTAAGGCAGAAATGTCTTTTGCATCATGGGAGTCTCGTACCTGGAGTCATGGCAGAGCTTAAGGAGCAGGATTCGGTGCTAACTGCAGCGCTGTCACCTTGGGAAGTAACGCTGTGACATAGCAGTACCTTTAGAGTACTTCTGTTTTAGGGATCAGTCCTCATCTTGACTGGAAACAAACAGAACGGGAATGTGAGCTTTAGAACGGACACAGTTCTGTTCCCAAGCATCGTCCCAGTTCGGTGGACTCTGGGTACGACGAAAAGGGCTCCCAGCTGAAAATGCTTGTTTCCTTCGAGGGCTTAGTCTAATGGCTTTTGATATATACAACAGAGTTAATATTTTTTTTTTTTTTTGTGAAACTGTAGCACATGATACGTTTTAATTGTTATTTATAGTAAAAAGCAAATGTAGCGCTTGATTAATTTTATCTGCTAATGGTGCTCAGAGATTGTGAAGCCTCAGTATGATTTCCCACCGAAATCCCACAGTCTGTACCAAGCGGAATTTATTTTCATTGCCGTGTTAGTCATATGTTGTTATTGATTTATTATACAAGCTTTTAATTAAAAACCCCAATCCCTGGCAATTTGCAAAATGATAAAATACATTGTTGCCTGTGGTTTTGAGGAGTTAAATAATTTTCTTATCAGTCTGTTTTCACGAACTCCTTTTGGAAACAGTTCTTACACAGCAGCAGTGCCTTTGTTAGTGGTTAGGCTACTGCTTCTCAATTTTTTTTGGAGTGCGGGCAAATTTCTGTGAAAATTATTAAAATTCTATTGCAAATTGTCTGTAAGTGCAATATTGTAGAAATAAATGAAAAAGGAAATTGTTCACGTGGAAGCAATTTGTTCAAACCGCTGTTGAAAATGCAAAGATAGTCTTATTTTTATTGTTCAATATATGGTAACAAAATACAGACTTGTATGCTTTCTGTATCATCTAATGTTTTACTTATCAGTCATCAAGTATATTTTTTCAGTGTGATTATTCAGAGTGCTTTAAAATAGTTGTGAGTAATTGAAACATTGCTGAGGAGCCATCATTTGTTTACAGAATGGGAGAAACAATCTGCAGGTCTTCCCTACAAAGATCAGTTATTGATTTCTAATCCAAGGACCAGATACTGTTAGTTTGTCTGTATACATGTATACCTCATTGCATGCAAATTATTTTGCAAATTGTCACTTACAGCAGTGTATTCACAGCAAAAGGTATTTGTTGAGTACTTGTTTCTGTCTGTTCTGGATCTCTCTTGTATGCAAGTCAAAACTGGCTTTCAAAACAGGGCTGTTACCTGACAGAGGTTTGATGCTTTGGATGTAAGGAGTACTTATAGACAAAGTACAGATGTTTTTGTTAACTTGTTTATGCTTGGCACATTGTTTCCCTGTGTTTTCTCAGGGTGACAGTAAAACCCATGTATGTAAAGCCAAATTGACTCTTCCTTTCTGAGTTCACATTCTCTCACCGTCCTTATTCAGTCTTAACATTCAAAAGCGTTTTTGTTTTATTTGTTTGTTGGTTTATTTTTAAAAACTGGTAGATACAAGCCCTTAAAGCATGATATTGCTGATATATGTCCACAGATACATACAGTGCACATGCAAGCACTATGGTATGATACGGTACGCATGCACTAGGTAGATACTGTTTGTATCAAGTACTCGTGTTGCTGCTGCAAATGGCATGCAGTTATTACTACTCAGGCCTCTGTATGTGGGAGAATGGTATAGCGAGATCTTGGGTAGTAACTATTTTTAATGTAGCAGGTGAGTGTGGGAAGCTGCTCACAGTAACAGGCCAAATTCTTTTGCTTTTGTTACAGCTGAGTGGGACCTCTGGCAAGACTCACAGATGAAATGTATTGCTCATTATGAGAATGGATGGCAAAGCCCAACCCTACAGTTTGTATAGCAGTACTAATTCCCAGTTCACCAAAATTTAGCATTATAGCACCAGTTAAGGCAAGCTTATAGAGCTACAGGAGTGCTGTGATTCTTGTGGAAAAATACAGAGGCACTATTACATTTTCAAGACAGGAGTACTGAGATAATGGCACCATTGA